TTATATACTACAAACACTTTTTTATCACGTAATAAGGCAGTATAGTTTGTATACTGTAATAAATGCTATGTTAGTTAGCACTGCATTGTTCATATACTTTATTACCTGGAGATGACTTGACAAACACAAATAAACCATATATTGTGTATTGTCGCAATCGTATGTTTAATGTCTTCATGTTTCCAAACATTTCTGTTTCCTGTGAAAACAACTGTTTTCATACAGCGATAGCTGGACGCTTTTGTCCATATTAGGGATTTCCTCGTAGACTTTCTGCGGAGAGCGCCTCCGGCTTCGAATATGAATGAAACACACAGTGCATGAGTGTTTAGCGCTCCGAGATGTTCATCTCGCCTTATTCTGGGTCCGAATAAAACATCAGATCATGCTCAGACTATCCTGTCTCTTTGAATTTAAATCAATATTTATTCACACCGGCTCTTGAAAACCTCTATGTGAACACACTTGCCCGAAAAAAGTGGGGGGACACGTCTCCCGCGTAATCTAAGCCCCTGGCTGCAACGACAAAAGACCTTTTGTACATCCCACCACAAGAGCTCACATGCAACATGGCAGACATTTAAAACAGACGTGTTTATGTGAAATGTGTGTTTTTGACAAACTTATTGTGCTTAAATACACAGAAGGCTAAGCACAATAAGACATAAAGAGAACATAGTTTAGTACCGACAGTCTGACAGACAGCTTTCTGTGCGCTGAGAAAACCCTATATCAGAAGTTATACAGCTTTAAAACGTGTGCAAATAATAAACTTCCAGGATGTCCTGCAATGTCACGTGACCGTGACGTTTTGTTTTGGCAGAAAATGTGAGTATCTGGAAAAGGGGGCGGGGAGCAGCAGCTCATTAGCATTTAAAGAGACATGCACGAAAACAGCCCGTTTCTGCTTCCACTCAAACTAGGCATTTTTTAAATTATGTAATAAATGATCTGTGGGGTATTTTGAGCTGAAACTTCACAGACACATTCTAGGGACACTTGAGAGTTTTATTACATCTTTTTAAAAGGGGCATTATAGGTCACATTTAATATTGCAGTTATAATGGGTTATTCACATCCTGAAAATCCAAACTGTTTACCATTTCAGATCTGTGCCCAACAAACAAAATGCGGATTTTTTGAGTCATTGTTTGAGTCACGATCTCCCTTGATGTCATTAACTTTATTTGTGTAGTTCAGTGGAGTATGCAGAAGTCAGATTCAGTGAAAAGATGAACAATGAAAATGAGAATCTTAATGTGTAATTGACTCATTATCCATCTCAATTCACCCTTCCCCGGGAGTTTGATTGACAGGGGATCTGACTAATGCAGAATGAGCCATTTTGTCTGTCAAACAAACCAGAAAGGAGAGTAGATTAACTTCAGAGGACTTGAACTTGAAAATGGTGTGTATTGTCTCTCTGTGGTTGAAATGAGATACAAAATACCTTCTGATGTTCATTCATGTTTATTTTGTGCTATAACTAGTAATAAAGGAACATGTGCTGCTTGATCTGAGACGCTACAGCGATACGTCACAACACATTAAAGAGCCACAAAACGGTAACTAAGGGAGCAGGTCTTTGCGAAGGGTCAATTACATATCTGAATAATGATAGCACTCAGTTTAATTGTAGTTTAACTGTATATGGAAACAATACTTTCAATACTGTTATATGTAGAGGTACAAAATCATTTTACAGTAAGTAAATTGCATTGTACAATTACATGCCTCTCAATGCATTTCACATGATGCAACATCTACCCGAAGGGCGCGCACTCATCTGCTGCTGTAAAGCCTTCATCTGTTCACGGTGCTGCTGCATCATCATAGCCATAGACTCCTCCTGTCTCTTGCTGGAGTTCTCCAACAGCTCTGCAAACTCTCGAGCTCTATTACTCTCGGCTTCAGCGTTCTGTCTCTTGAACACTTCCATCTCCTGGCTCATCCTCTCAGCCTTCTCCTGAAAGCCCTTCTCCAGCAGAGCGGCCTGCTCCCTCAGTTTGCTGTCCATGGCACGATTGGCCTCCTCTCTCTGAAGCCTCATCTCCTCATCCATCTTCTCCTTCATCTGTCTCATCCTCTCTTCATTACTCTGTCTTTCTGCTTCAATCTTCTCTAGTAACTGTCGCTGCTCCTCCTCTTTAGCTTTGATTTCCTGCTCCAGGAGTATGGCTTTCTCTGTTTCCTCTGGCCATTGACAAAAAGAAGAAGACGGAAAGAGATGCTTTACAGATAGAGAAAAAACTCAAACCATGAGATTAACGGTCTATTTTATTGTAAGGCGCGATATAAACTGCAAGGGAAAATATTTTAAATTATTCATTACACTTCTGTGAAAGACTTTGTTTTATTTATTGCTACTTGTTAGTGTTATTTATTCCATTTGAAGCTTATTACCTAAACAAGTACCTAAACCTTTGAGCACTTCTTTCACAAGTAAAGAATGGGGAACTCTTACCTTTAATCTTTTTTTCCTTCTCAGTCAGTTTTTTGTCTGCCTGCAGAATAGCTTTAGAATCCACAGACTTCTGCTTCAGAAACACCTTGAAGACCGCTTCAGCCTGTTGACACACACAGACCTTAGAAGCTATATCAGAACAAAATGTTTTAAAATGTCATGAAGTTGTGCGATATGGAAAAGACCTTGACTTCTTTATTGGTCTGGCTGTTGTATTTCTTCACAATGTCCTCCAGATCCTTGCAGAAGAGATCATAGCCACCAGATTGAGCATAGACGCCCTCTTTGAGTTTTTCAGTCATTGTTGCTGAGAGGGATGACAGGAGATCCTCGCATCTTTTCTTTGAAGCATGCTCATTTTGGCACAGGTATCCATCAAAGAGTTCATTAACTTTTTCCTAAAAAACATACAGACAGTGTTTCAGTTCTTTGGTGACTTAGGGCTTGTTTATTTGGAATAACACTCTCAGCACAGAATGGCATATACGAGAAGATGGAATCAGTGAGAATGTCCAGATCTCATCCACTACTCTGAAAGAACATCTCTCTATCAGTAAGCTCAAAGGACCTCCTCAGAGAGAGCTCCAGCTAACCTCTAGAGATTTCAGGTGCTTCCCGTCAGTGTCCCTGAAAGATCGAGTCATGAAGGTTTGTGTTGCCATGCTGCTGAGACGTTGGTGTTCCGAGGAGACAACCTTTAATTCCAGAGGGAAGGAGTTCTTCAGCTTCTCCATTCCACTCTGGTACACCTCAAGCCCTTCCTTCACCGCAGCTTGATTCTCAATCATTGCCATGGCAATCACAGCATTCTCCAGACACGGCACAGCCCCACTAGAGATGGTGTCCATGTACATTTTTGCTAGATGACCCAAAACTTTCAAAAGAGGAAAGAAGTCAAACAAAATGATTGAGCAATAGAAATTCCACTGAAAGCACATATGCAAGCTCTTCAAATGTCCTTCTGAATCACCTCTGCCAGTGACTGTGTATCCATCCTTCAGCTTCTTCACATCACTCTTGTCAAAGACAAACTTGCAGAAACGTCCTGTAACCTCCAGGAACTCAGTGGAAAGGTCAGCAGGATCCAATCTCTCCAGACGAGACACGTTCTCCGGGGCGGTTGGAAACGGGAACGTGAAGCACGTCCTGGAGGGGAAGAATTTTTGGATGCACTCCCTGGGAAGGTTGTACTCCATCACTTTTTTTGATGTTCCTAGAAGAGATTAACACAAGCTGTAGCTTTTCTCAGTTCTAGAGTTTTGTAAAGTTAAAAAAAAGTGTGTCTGTCCTTTGAGCAGAGTGTAGCTGATTCAGCTACTCTTCTGGGCCACATTGTCACTGGACATTTTTTTTCTCCACTTTGAACCCTTTCCATCCACAGTGTATTATAAATGTATGCTATTATCTAGGTATCCAGTCCTGCACCTGGAGGGCCAGTGTTCTGCAGAGATTAGCTCCAACCCCAATTAAACACATCTGCACCATCTAATCAAGGTCTTACTAGGCACACTAGAATCTTCCAGACAGGTGTGTTGAGGCAAGTTGGAGCTAAACTCTGCAAGACAGTGGGCCTCCAGGAGTTTTCGGCACCCCTGATCTAGAGCCGTGGTTCCTAATTCCAGTCCTCGCGTACCACCGCTCTGCATATTTTGCATGTCTCTCTTATTGAACACACCTAATTCAGATAACCAGCTCATTGTAAGATAGTTTAATAAATGAACTGTGTTCCGATTGACATGGTCCCTACACAGTGTTGATTGCTCCCTACTCCCTGAGCATGGGAAATCCACTGAAGTTTACTAAACTTCAGAACAATCGTTCATGGATTTGCGCTACGCCTCAGTCTGCAGTGTCCTCACACAGACGAAACTTACTAGAGAAGTGACATAATATACACCTGTGTAAATAAATACAATTTAAATTCACATCTCACAAACTTTAACGCCCTTTAAATGGAATATATGCGCTCCCTTCCTAATCTTGGCAAAATATCCTGGGATATCCACTTTACAAAGCACTTACGGTCGAATAGAACAGAATAGAACTCTTAAAATAATCTTTTGTACCATACTTAAATTACCATGTTTCAGCTTCAGAGCAAACTCTAGATAATCATTCTCTGTTGCATCTTTGCCATCAATCTTTCGCTCCAGAGTGAAGTCCCTCACTGCCCAGATGAAACTAGGGAAGAACTTCACAAACTCATTTGAATCATCAACATCCTCGTCTGATGATTTGACCTTGATGCACTCTGTTAGTTCAGTAACATATCTGACAGTTTGTTTAGGTATGAACACAAAGTGACTGTCCAACATGATTCTATTAGTATTTGTATGTATTTTACAATTGTATTTACAAGTGTGGTTCTACCATGTACATTTACATAGACAATAAAATGTATAATATTGATTTAACAGCATCTAAAGCATCATTTATGAATAAATAACTTTACAGATGTACACATTTACAAATATTTATGAATGGAAGTGCCTTATGGAATGTATTGGTTGATTCTGTCGTATTTATGATCAGTGAGATTATGTTTTCAATTGTATTTAACGCAGTTGAGTCATTTATTAATTATAACATTTTATTCTGTTCTTTGTGACTTCTGGTGCCAATTTTACATAATTATGTATTATGAAAGTATTACATAATTTTAAACAAGACTACACCTTGAAATTCTACAATGAATAGAATTTCTGTAATTGTTTAAAAATTTAATTGTTTTATTTATATAATACTGTTGTATATTTGTATTGTTTTATTTGTTTAAATGTTTTTGCACAAAAATTGAATTTAACGTCGCTTGGGTAGTTTTCGAAATTTGACAACAGGTTTGCTTTGCTGTAAATGATAAATAGGCAACTGACTTTACAATTCGCATGACCCATGAAATTATGACTGTGCCATTATGTCCTCGCTATTTACCTTGTGAGTTCACACAAGTGACCATGATTGTGTCTCTGGTCCTGATAATGCTCTTGCAGCTGAACGCATTGCAGATAACTATAATAATGCTGTCTCTTAAACAGCTGCGATGTTAACACGCTTACATATCTGGTGCATGTTAATATCAGACAATAATGCAATACTAAAACCAAGCTTGCCAAGCACTGTTATAAAGATGGAGGAGAGGTTCACCAGGGAAATGCAAGGGCAGCGTGGCAGAGGCTCAACGCGATGATGGAGAAAGCTCAGGTATCAGTTCAAGAACAGTGTCCACACTCAGTTAATGGTTTTAAATCTAGTAGCATCATTGTAAATACTGGGGTCCCACAAGGCTGTGTCTTGTCACCTATTATGTTTTCCAAATACACAAATTACATATTACATAGGTCTATGCCCACAGGGCCTGGCTGGGCTCAGCCCGAAACTACGACGTGGAGCTGCTCTTCGGTGGGCTCACCACCTGCCGGAGAAGCCGTAGTTTCAACTCTGGTTTTTGGGACTTGGAATGTTACCTCAATGGAGGGGAAGGAGCCTGAGCTGGTACAGGAGGTTGAGAGATACCATCTAGATATAGTCGGGCTCACTTCCACTCACAGTTTGGGTTCTGGAACCATTCTTCTCGACAAAGGGTGGACTCTCCACTATTCTGGCGTTGCCCGGGGTGAGAGGTGTCGGGCCGGTGGGGGCTTGTTAATAGCCCCCAGTTCAGCCGCCATGTGTTGATGTTCACCCCTGTGAATGAGAGGGTTGTCTCCCTGCACCTTCTGGTCAGGGAACAGTCTCTCACTGTCGTTTGTGCTTATGTGCCTAATGGCAGTGCAGAGTACCCGGCCTTTTTAGAGTCCCTGGGGAGCATGCTGGAAAGCGCTCCCACTGGGGACTCTGTCATTCTACTGGGGAACTTTAACACCCACGTGGGCAGCGACAGTGATACCTGGAGGGGCTTAATTGGGAGGAACGTCCTCCCTGATCTGAACCCGAGTGGTGAGTTGTTATTGGATTTCTGTTTTAGTCACGGTTTGTCCATAACAAACACCATGTTCAAGCATAAGGGTGTCCATCAATGCACGTGGCACCAGGACACCCTAGGTCGGAGGCCGATAATTGACTTTGTAGTCGTTTCTTCTGATCTTCGGCCATATGTCTTGGACACTCGGGTAAAGAGAGGGGCTGAGCTGTCAATTGATCACCACCTGGTGGTGAGTTGGATTCGATGGCGGGGGAGAAGGCTGGACAGACCTGGCAGGCCCAAACGCATAGTGAGGTTCTGTTGGGAACGTTTGGCAGAGGCCCCCGTCAGAGAGGTCTTACACTCCCACCTGCGACAGAGCTTCAACCAGGTCCCGATGGAGGCCTGGGACATTGAGTCTGAATGGACTATGTTCCACACCTCCATTGTCGGGGCGGCAGTTCGGAGCTACGGCCGTAAAGTCTCTGACGCCTGTCGTGGCAGCAATCCCCGAACACAGTGGTGGACACCGGAGGTAAGGGATGCTGTCAAGCTGAAGAAGGAGTTCTATCTGGTCTGGCTGACCCATGGGACTCCTGAAGTCGCTGGCGGGTACCGGCAGGCCAAGCAGAACACGGCTCTGGCAGTCGCCGTGGTAAAAACTCGGCCTGGGAGGAGTTTGGTGAGGCCATGGAGGAAGAGGCTTTAAAGAGATTCTGGCAAACCATCCGGCGGCTCAGAAGGGGGAAGCAGTGTTCCATGGTGCGTAGTGCGTTCTGTGGTGGAAGTGGTGCGTTGCTGACTTCAACTGAGGATGTCATCGGGCAGTGGAAAGAGTACTTTGAGGATCTCGTCAATCCCTCTAAAACGCCCCCCGTAAAGGAAGCTGAGGCTGGGGACTCGGGGGGGCTCGTCCATCACTCTGGCTGAAGTTGCTGAGGTAGTCAAAAAACTCTGTGGTGGCAAGGCTCCGGGGGTGGATGAGTTCCGCCCCGAGTTTCTCAAGTCTCTGGATGTTGTGGGGCTGTCTTGGCTGACACGCCTCTGCAGTATTGCGTGGAGTTCGGGAACAGTGTCTTTGGACTAGCAGACCGGGGTGGTGGTCCCTCTTTTTAAGAAAGGGGACCGGAGGGTGTGTTCCAACTATAGGAGATCACACTCCTCAGCCTCCCTGGGAAAGTCTATGCCAGGTTACTGAAGAGGAGAATCTGACCGATAGTTGAACCTCGGATTCAGGAGGAGCAATGCGGTTTTCGCCCTGGCCCTGGAACACTGGACCAGCTCTATACCCTCACTAGGGTGTTGGAGGGTTCATGGGAGTTTGCCCAACCAGTCCATATGTGCTTTGTGGACCTGGAGAAGGCATTCGACTGTGCCCCTCGTGGCATCCTGTGGGAAGTACTTCGGGATTATGGGGTTCAGGGCTTGTTGTTACGGGCTGTTCGTTCCCTGTATGACCAGAGCAGGAGCTTGGTTTGCATTGCCGGCAGTAAGTCAGACCTGTTTCCGATGCATGTCGGACTCCGCCAGGGCTGCCCTTTGTCACCGATTCTGTTCATTATTTTCATGGACAGAATTTCTAGGCGCAGCCAGGGAGCGGAGGGTGTCTATTTTGGTGGCTGCAAGATATCGTCTCTGCTTTTTGTGGATGATGTGGTCCTGTTGGCATCATCAAATCAAGACTTGCAGCGTGCACAGGAGATGTTTGCAGCCAAGTGCGAAGCGGCGGGGATGAGAATCAGCACTTCCAGATCTGTAGCCATGGTTCTCAGTCGAAAAAAGGTGGATTGCCCCCTCCAGGTTGGGGGGGGGGAATTGCTCCCTCAAGTGGAGGAGTTTAAGTATCTCGGGGTCTTGTTCACGAGTGAGGGAAAAATGGAGCGGCAGGTTGACACCACATTACTGCGGACGCAGCACCAATCCGTCTTTGTACCGGTCTGTTTTGGTGAAGAAGGAGCTGAGTCTTAAGGCGAAACTCTCAATTTACCAGTCGATCTATGGTCATAAACTCTGGATCATGCCCAAAAGATTGAGATCGCGGATACAAGTGGCTGAAATGAGTTTACTCCGCAGGGTGGCTGGACGCACCCTTAGGGAGAGGGTGAGGAGTTCAGTCACCCGGGAGGAGCTCGGAGTAGAGCTGCTGCTCCTCCGCATTAAGAGGAACCAGTTGATGTGGCTTTGGATGCCTTTCGGATGCCTCCTGGACGCCTCCCGGATGAGGTGTTCCGGGCATGTCCCACTGGGAGGAGGCCACGGGGTAGACCCAGGACACGTTGGAGAGACTATGTCTCCCAGCTGGCCTGGGAACGCCTTGGGATTGCCCCAGAGGAGCTGGATGAGGTGTGTGGGGAGAAGGAAGTCTGGGGGAATCTGCTCAGACAACTGCCCCCGCGACCCGGCTTCGGATAAGCAGAGGTAGATGAGATGAGACAAATGACGTATAATGCCAATGGTTTGCCACTTTTGAAAAATATTAATGACATATTCTTGGTTGCCTGTATGATGGATCAGCAAGCTCTGTTTAAATGCAGGCAGTATGAGGACACTGTGGTCCTCTAGTTCCAGGAAATCTCTTTGGAAATGAAAATATACATAGAGAACCCTTCACCTAGATAGAGAACCCTTCACCTAGATATCATACTATAGAGACAAATACAAAAAACGCCCAAACCAATTTAAGGGCAATAATTTAATTGATGTTCAACAAATACAAAACATATATAAGACAGATAAACAAATGAAAAACCTTGGCTTAATGAATATTAGATCCCTTTCTATGAAAGTGCTTTTTGTAAATGATACGAACACAGATCATAACCTAGATATGCTCTGTTTGACAGAAACCTGTCTAAAACCAGGTGATTGCATTACTTGAAATGATTTTACCCCTCAAGATTACTGATATGAGCTGCGTCCAAATAGTAAAGGGGAAGGTGTTGCTACAATTTATGGCAATATTTTCCATATTTGTCAAAGGTCTGATTTCAAGTTCAATTCATTTGAAGTGATGGTGCTTCATATAATATAATCTAGTGTAATATAATATCCATGTAGATAATAAAAAAAGATGCATTGGGATAAGCATTTATAGACATTCTAAACTCTATTTAATAACTAAATTAAATAACTCTATAAACTCTAGATTTAATTCTGCAGCAGAGCGTTGATATCTCAGATCATTCTATAGTCTTGTGCATAATCCATATAGCTAAAAACTCAACTCCTTGTTACAAATATGGTAGAACCATCACTTCTATGACAAAAGACTTTGTAAATAATATTCCTGATTTGTCTCCTCAGCATGAAACTATGAACTCTCTCTTTTCTAGCACTTTAGACGGTTGCTCCGTTACTCTTAAAAAAGATAAAGGAAAATATTCTAACACATTGGTATAACAAGCACACTCATGTCCTAAAGAGAGCAGCCTGGAAAATGGTGAAAACAAGTAAACAAAACTAGAAGCATTTCATATTGCAATGCGGGAAAATACTTCCTCCTACAGAAAAGCCTCAAAAACTGCTAGATCTGCCAATTGATGCAATCACAATCAGATAATGATACTATTGCATCAGATAGTGTGCTATAGATCCCCTGAGGAACAATTCCACTCATTCTCTAATATAGGAAAGGAAGAATTGTATAAACTTGTTAAATCATCAAAAACAACAACATGTATGTTAGACCCAACATTATCTTAGCTACTAAAAGAGGTGCTTCACGAAGTCATAGATCCTCTTCTGAATATTATTAATTTGTCATTGTCATTAGGATATGTCCCCAAAACCTTCAAACTGGCTGTTATTAAGCCTCTCTTTAAAAAAAACAACAACTTTACCCTGAAGAATATTAGTTAATTACAGACCGATCTCGAATCTCCCATTTCTGTCAAATATACTAGAAAAGGTAGTCTCCTCACAATTATATTCCTTCTTTGAGAAAAATGGTATCTGTGAGGATTTCCAGTCAGGATTTAGACCGTATCATAGTACTGAGACTGCTCTCATTAGAGTTACAAATGACCTGCTCTTATCATCTGATCGTGGTTGTATCGCTCGATTAGTGCTACTGGATCTTAGCGCTGTGCTTGATACTATCGATCACAACACTCTTTTAAGTAGACTACAAAATTTTGTTGGCATTAGTGGAATTGCATTGGCATGGTTCAAATCATACTTATCTGACGTCATCCATTCGTAGCAGTGAATGAAGAGTTATCATATTGATCACAAGTACAGAGTACCTCAAGGCTCAGTACTAGGACCACTGCTTTTCACGCTTTACATGTTAACCTTGGGAGATATCATCAGGAAACATCTGAAAATACCCTCCATTACCACAGACCCTTTGGCTCCTGGCCAAAAAAGAGCTTACTTATTTCTGAAGTGTGGGCCTGCCCCGCTTTTTGAGCATTTCCTCCCTCTTTAAATAAATAAATCTCATGCCAGTGCGACCACACTGTGGTAAGCAACTATCAGTCTATGATACAACTGAGCCTACAGGTAAATATAGATCTTTGCAACATTGCTCAGTTAAAAGGATAAAGCCAAATTAGAAGGTTATTACTGATCTCAATTGCCCCATCAAACAAAGATGGTGAAAAAGTTCATGTGTCACAAAATAAATCACTCTCATTTGATTTGTATTTGAGGGCATGAGCTCGTGGTGGGGAATATAACCAAACTGCATATCTTCACTGTATTAAACATTCATACATTGACTAAATTTAGTAGCTTCATTAAGTATCAGTCAAGATCAGTGAGTGATTTTCTCTTTTTCTGTTGTTGTTTGATTAACATTATTGATACAGGCAGCAGCAGGAATACAAGTCTGCTGTCACTTTAAGAGCTGCATGGATCTATAGATACACACACACGTTTTCTTTCTCAGCTGTTCACAATTTACTTAAGTTATTAGCCAAGACAGTCATTTTAAAGGGGTCATATGATGCTTATTTAAAGATCATTATTTTGTGTATTTGGTGTAACAGAATATGTTGACATGCTTTAATGTTCAAAAAACAGATGATTTTTCAAATACTGTACATTATTGTAGGTCCTCTATGCCCCGCCTCTCTCAAACGCTTCATTTTCTACAAAGCCCCTCCTTCCAACAAGCGCAGTCTGCTCTGATTGGCCAGCTGACCCAGTGCATTGTGATTGGCCGAACACCACAAGCACTCGTCGGAAATGTAACGAATGACCTCCTCTCCTAGGTTCACGAAACCGTCGTCCATAAAATGCATTGCTGTTCTGTTGTAAGTAATCTTAAAGATTCCTAAATGGATCTACTTCCGGAAGGCCAAATAAAGTGCTTTTGCTTTCGTCTAGAAACACACAGCGTCTCCCTGACATGCTGCTTCAACACTAACTGCGGTTACTGAAACCACGCCTTCTTTCTTTGCGTGCACATTTGGGCGCATTATGCTAATATTTCCACATAGTGAGGTAGATATGTGGGGGCGTGTTAGAACGAGGCGTTTTAGGGGGGCGTGGCAGAGTCTTAACTTTGATAAAGAATATCTCTTTGGTTTTGAGACTTTAGTCTTTGCAACTTCAGGGATCTTATCTATGCACAATCAGCTTGTAACACTCCAAAGAGAAAGGAAAACATGAAATCGCATCATATGACCCCTTTAACATAACTGTGTGTGTATTTTACTGTTGAAATACTATAAGAAGTGAAAGAGATCTGAAATCACGATTCTACTGCTGTCTAAGAGAGGCGGCTCTTTTGAGTTTTTTTTTTCAAGTTTTATTGCGCTTAATATCTCTTTTTAACATCAAACACATCCCGTGCTTTATTTTCGTATTCATGCATGTTTCTTGTCTTGTCAGTACAGTTAGGCAGTTCTGCGTTGTGTGGATATATAAAGTTGGCATGGCCAGTGTGCCTGCAGGGAGAGAAGCAGAGCGCTGCACACACTCTACCCTGGTGCTGCATGTCGACACAACTCAGGAAATACGGCTCTTATTAAACTGCTGTCATTCTTAAAGAACCGGTACTGGTAAAAAGAGGAATCATACTGTTTTTAAAAGCAGGGTATTGCGATACCTTTTTAGTACCAGTATATCGTGCAACACTACTCTATACATCACTCTATACTGTTGTACAGCACCAGACAGCACTTCAAATTAAACTTCGTTTGGACTACTTTGGTACTGCTTGTTGTCACTTTTGAAATAAGTTATTGTGATTACACTTGCCTGTCTATCATGTTTTTTCTTTATATTGTGTATACTTTATAGAAATGGTTAGGTTTAGAGAGGGTTTAAGTGCCAAAAACTGCATAATGGAATATTGCAGTTAAAATTAATTAACTTCTGCCAGTCATGTTTTTACACTGTAGTACATGTAACTATATAAATATATTTTTGATATAAAGCATTCACAAAGCAAGCATATTTGCATGTTTTTCCTGTGTGAAATGGTGGCAAACATCTGAACAATCTCTTTCTTTTGCAAATAAATGAATTAATTAATGAATTAAAATCTAGATAAATGTTCAGAAGGATACTGCAGCTCCTCTACAGCCCTGTTGTCGATCATCCCTTGACTGTTGAAGACCAGAGTGCTGCTCAGTAACACAGCCAGACAGAAGATGTTTGTGTCATGCTTCGAGTCCCCCTAAGATGCAGAACCACATTTGTGAAGTTAGAACGATAAACTGGAAATAGCCTTGAATTTGCATTTACATTCAACTCAATGAAAGGTACTCACACAACTACAGGCTATAACATTTAGAGCTCCATTTAAGCAGGTCGAGATGCCCCCGCCTCCACTTTACAGCAAAGTAGCAAGCTAGCACTAGACTGAATACATCTGTCCATTCTCAAAAGCCAACAACATGCTGAATGCACAACCAAAATAAAAAATGCACTTGGAAAATAAGTTCGGACACTCATTTGCCTACTAAGCTGGTTGACAGCTGTTATTGCACAGTCATTTTAGATTGACTATCTGTAATACTATGTAATAGAGATGTAATGATATCAAAATCTACAATATATAGTAATATCACGATATTAAGTTCATGATACATTTATTGCGATATTTAAATATAATATTTTAATGTTTATATATAATCATTCTCTATGCTACAACATAACTACCTTGTAGATTAGGTATCAACTTTAAAGTGCAAAATAGCAGTCAAGTCAGATTGAAACAAGAACTTCAAGTATAGTGTTTTCAGTTTTCATAACAAGGAAAAAAATAATCAGACCCAGTAATAAAAAACAAAATAAAATAAAGTTTCAGTTTAGTTTAGTTTGTCAACTTTTTACAGCTAAAACAAAAATGAACTCTCAGACAATCGGGTTTTGAGGATTGTGAGTCACTCCCTCAATTGGTCTATTTTAAGGCCTCTTTTCTTTTGCCTCCAATCACATGCTGTTGCTTTGTTGTGCTAGGAAAGCAACTATTGTGAATGAAGGGTCAAGACAAGAGGGTGGGCTTTGAGATGGGTCAATTCTTGAAAACAAAAACAACCCAGTAAGAATAAAAATAGCAGCCTACTTATTGCAGCTGGACCTAGAGCTGAATAAGTATCACTCACTCACCTCATTTACTCACTGACTCACTCACTCACTCTGAGGAATGATGAGGAAGATGAGCATATCAACATTCCACGGAGAATCTTCGTAGGTCTTTGGCTATATATGCTCTTTTGTTGATTTTGATTGCTTCTATTGTCCTCATTTGTAAGTCGCTTCGGATAAAAGCATCTGCTAAATGACTAAATGTAAATGCATATATTCACCGATGCATCTTGTGATTTTGTCTTGGGGGAGTGAGATTGTAAATGCTTCCTTTATAGTCTTTTGGCCCAGCTGGATTTTGTTCCTTGTATCTTTACGATACTTTTCGGGGTAATGATTTAACTTGGCTCTTCATGTTTGTCGTATTCGCCGATTTGCATATCGAAACCGAAATGCCTCTACACTTCAGATTTAAAATTCGCTTTTGCGTCCACAATTTCCCAATCTCTCTCTTCTCCTTCGCCAATAGCAGCGTCTGCCAGTTTCTCTCTACTGGATCTGTAACGTTAGAGGCAGCAGAGCGATGGGTATGATGGGAATTGTAGTTCCCACTTCCCTCCACGCTGCTTCACTGGGCTGAAAAAACTACACTTTTTGCCCGGAAGACTTATAGTTTCATATCGTCATGTGACTACGATAATATCGAGAAAATTTTGATATCGCGATACCACGAAATTGATAATATCGTTACATCCCTAATATCTATAGATTTAAATTTTAGGCAAGTCGTGATGATTTGAGAAGGTAAATTGATTAAACATAGGCCATGATCAACTCACTGTCTGCCGCTGGCCTCTTGGTCGTTACGAAAGGAAATATCATCACTTTGCCATTACATACAAAACTGAACTACTTTCATAGCTGAAACAGTAGTATAAGCTGTTTTGGGAGACGGGCTCGGGTCGGGAATTCTGATAAGCTGTCAGACAAGGGCCGGGCTAGGGCCTATATTTGAGGCCCGTGCAGGGCTCTACTGTGGGGTATTTTGAGCTACAATTTCACGTACACACTCTGGGGACATCAGAGACGATTTTTACATCTTGTAAAAAGGGGCATAAAAGGTCACCTTTAAGGTTATCTCTGCTGCAGAAGTGAAAGTGTTATTGGACCCTTGGGCACTAGTAATTTGGTAAATTTGTTACTTCACCTTGTCCACGTCCCCGAGTCCCTCGGTGTCCAGCAGCACCAGAGTGGTTTCTGCTTTAGTGGGGTGAGGCACGCACCACATCCAGATGCCCTTCGTCTTGGACTCGATTGTGCTGCCCAGTGCAAACCCTGATAACCACACACCAGAAACCCCACAATGACTTGCATGCATTCATTTGAACAGCACGAGCGTTTGGATGGCATCAGTGCTGCTGACCTGTTTGTTTCCCGGCCAGTCGATTCATCAGGTAGGACTTCCCGGTGCGATAGAGACCCACCACAGCCACCACCACCACGGGCTGCTGGATCTGCTCCAGAACCTGCAACGCTGACCCCTGCACACACAGCTTCCCATCGGACGCCGTGTCAATCAAGCACACTGGTTTGTCCATGACCACTGGAGACCCAAACACATTTCACTTCCTTTAATCAACCGCACTGAGAAATACTCCAATACTCCTGCATTAGACAGTACAGTAACTCCCCACACGAGCAGTCTTTCCTCTTTCTGTTTGTGTAAAATATTGCTTTAACCACACACTTTCACATCAAACTACACAAGCAGGCTGAATAAGATAAATGCTGTTAGATTTGTTTGTGCCCAGCTACAGTCTTTAACCAGACTGGGTTTAGTTGATGCTGGTTTTACTAGAGAGGTAAAATACAAGTTAATCATGTCATATAAAGACCTTTGTGCTCTAACAAAACATGGCCAGAACATCTATCAAGACAAGTCAGGCTGTAGAGTTCACACACACACACACACACATACACACACTCACACACACACTCACTCACACACACACACACACACACACTCACACACACACACTCACTCACTCACACCTGGTTATTCTCTGTGGCTGATTTGAGCTCCTCCTATTGACTGAGCAAAGAGCAATGCGCAGTTTCACTCTTAGTTTCACTTTCAAAATCAGCAACTGCAAACTGGAAAACACGTGATAGCAGATACAAGAAGCTTGGATTGTTTCCAGATATTGTTAGCCACATAAAAAGATAAGATGTTTTCCTTTTTGTGGTACTAAATGACACAGCTCAGATATACAAGATGTCATTCCAATCTATGAACAACAAAAGCTGACCACGAAATAAGAAGAGTAAAGAAGACTGTCTGTTTAACCTGTAATAAACCTTGTTTCTGATGAAACTGAATGGAAATTCCCAAGAACTTTCCCCTCCAGTGTATCAGACACTATGAAAAGATTTGGGAAATGTTAAAGTGTACTCACGACTCCATCAGTACTGTATGACACTAACAACACAAGAGTCCAGGGAACTCTTTTACTCATTAACTGTGTACCATAGAATGTGTTAAATCAGTTGCTTGGGGTAAAAGCGTCAGCTAATAAGTAAATGATCGTTTAAAAACACAGTACAGTACATGTACAGTAAATGATCGATTTACTGTACATGTACTCAATACTTGGTAGGGGCTCCTTTTGCTTTAATTACTGCCTCAATTCGGCGTGGCATGGAGGTGATCAGTTTGTGGCACTGCTGAGGTGGTATGGAAGCCCAAGTTTCTTTGACAGTGGCCTTCAGCTCATCTGCATTTTTTGGTCTCTTGTTTCTCATTTTCCTCTTGACAATACCCCATAGATTCTCTCTGGGGTTCAGGTCTGGTGAGTTTGCTGGCCAGTCAAGCCCACCAACACCATGTTCATTTAAACAACTTTTGGTGCTTTTGGCAGTGTGGGCAGGTACCAAATCCTGCTGAAAAATGAAATCAGCATCTTCAAAAAGCTGGTCAGCAGAAGGAAGCACGTTTACCAAAATTTCTTGGTAAACGGGTGCAGTGACGTTGGTTTTCAAAAAACACAATGGACCAACACCAGCAGATGACATTGCACCCCAAATCATCACAGACTGTGGAAACTTAACACTGGACTTCAAGCAACTTGGGCTATGAGCTTCTCCACCCTTCCTCCAGACTCTAGGACCTTGGTTTCCAAATGAAATACAAAACTTGCTCTCATCTGAAAAGAGGACTTTGGACCACTGGGCAACAGTCCAGTTCTTCTTCTACTTAGCCCAGGTAAGATGCCTCTGACGTTGTCTGTGGTTCAGGAGTGGCTTAACAAGAGGAATACGACAACTGAAGCCAAATTCCTTGATAAGAGACATTGTCTGGATTGGTTGGGAACGGGAAGGTGAAACATTTCCGAGATGGGAAGTATTTGCGAATGCACTCTCTTGGAAGGTTGTAATTGTTCACTTGACTCGAGTTACCTTCAAGAGAACAACACAAAGCTGTCCTTCAGTCAACGTACACAGTGAAAACTTGAACATCAAATAAACTGCTAGCTTGTTAACGTGTTATAGATAAATGATCTTGGGGAACATTGAAGATAAACACAGAAAGCTAAAATCATTGACTGGAAGTGGCTAGAAAGGCTTTGTTTGCTAACAGAATGGCAAAGCACATGCTCTGACAAAGCTGGTCATAAAACTTTCAGGCTTCAAATATTACCTAGTTTTAGTTTCAGAGCAAACTCTAGGTATTCGTCCTCTGTTGTGTCTTTCCCATCGATGTTTAGCTGCAGAGTGAAGTCCCTCACGGCCCAGATGAAACTGGGGAAGAACTTGACAAACTCTGCATCATCTACAGCTTCATCAGGTGACTTGATCTTGATGTACTCTGTTAGCTCAGTGACGTATCTGTTCAGTGTGAGTCAAAGATCTGTTGAACATTCACTAGTTCCTGATACTGAATGGTCAGTGATTGTGAGATTGGTGTACCATCAGACAGAAAGACACATAGATAATATATGATAGAGCTACTTTAGTTTGTCACCTTGTCCACGTCTCCGAGTCCCTCGGTGTCCAGCAGCACCAGAGTGGTTTCTGCTTTAGTGGGGTGAGGCACGCACCACATCCAGATGCCCTTCGTCTTGGACTCGATTGTGCTGCCCCGTGCAAAGAGCAAAAACAAACATGAAGAATCTGCTGCTGTACTGATGCTGAGTGTGAAACACTGGACATTATATTGTTTGCAGATATAAGAGCAGCACAAGTGCTATAATGATCTGAATGAAGGAGCTTCTCTTACCGGTTTGCTTTAGTTCACTCCAGTCTAACTTCAGTCTGAGTTGTGTTCATGATGCAGCTTCCTGATATTCTACCCATGTTTCTTAGACACACCTTCGGCTCCAGACTCTGGATGCTGATTGGTCTAGAGTGAGTTAGGGGATGTTCCTGGTCTCTCAGTGTGTCTCTGGTTATTCTCTGTGGCTGATTTGAGCTCCTCCTATTGACTGAGCAAAGAGCAATGCGCAGTTTCACTCTTAGTTTCACTTTCAAAATCAGCAACTGCAAACTGGAAAACACGTGACCAGGGCTGCTGCTGGTGGAATTGTATTGATGTGCCCCATCGCCACCAAATATTATGAAAGTTTACTCCATAATGTGTATGTGTTTGTGTGTATTTATCAGTTTTTGCATTATGCTTCCATGCCACTAGGTGTCATTATTATGAAATTATTTTACTTTTTTTTACCCAAACATACTGTGTTTGAGAACAATTCCAATAATATCATAAACTAAAATAAAAGATTGCAAAACAACTTTACTCTCTGTCTGAGCCGATGAAACTTTGAGGCATGGAAAGAGTGCATTAGATATAACACACAGTGTAATGCCTTAACGTAATCTACATATTGATCATCTTTTTACTTACATTTTTTATGGATCTTAGGGTGTATTCACACCAGGGGCGTATTCCAAAAAGCAGGTTATGTGACATACCCGGGGATGTTTGAGGGTAAGCGAGCGGATCACCTCAGCTTTTGGTTCCAAAATCGGAGGTTATTTCAGGGTATGTAAGTAACCATAGTAACTTGCTCTCTGAAGATAACCTGCTCCGGAGCAGTTTCTGTTCCAGGGTTAGTTCACTTCAGCGCACGTGTGATCTACTGACGAGCCTTCAGTGGGCCTGACAGATAGCGCACAGCCGCACAACATTATATAACAGGCTATATTACATATTGTAATATTATATTTTTATATACGTATATATATATATATATATATATATTATATGTTAACGATGAAGTGCTAATATACTGTAAGTAATAAATAAGGTAATATATTATTCTAATATGTTATTATATTTATTTTATTGGCATATATAACAGTTATCTGTATAAATTATAAAACACTATGACAAGGTACTGTTTAATTTATTATATTATATATATTTATTTGTTACATTTTATATTATCATCTCACACATGGATCGTCATTTTCTATAATGTCTAAATTCTAAATCAAAATACATATCTGATATGACTTAATATATAATTAGCAT